TCCGTAAAATAACTTAGCAGGTAAATCAGCAATGGTTAGACCACCGTGTAAGAATTACTGACTAACCGATAACGTCGCGAGATTGACACGTTCCCTACCAACGTCACACGTTTATGATAATCCTACACTCCACGTAAAAATAAACTGAAACTACCACGGTATTATTCCTCAAAGCTACAAGCTATAGCGTAACACGTATAAACCCGGTAACTATTCCCAGGTTTCCCTGTTTAAAATTCCAGAATGATTCACCGGGAAGAAGCTCGTTGTACAATACACATTTTGGAATTAAATGAAATATTAATGCGACGCTGAATAGAAAAGACGAAGGCAGCTTATAAATTTCCACGAAGAGACTGACTGGACAACCATTTACGGAACGCGGCACGTGCACGTAGGATCGATCGGTCCGACGGAGAATCCTTCGCGGATATCCGCCGTGCCGGCGGTGCAACGCAAAATGTTGCCGGGCGAATTAGCATAACAAGATTCCCGGGCGCACGTAATGCAACAACACCGCTCGCCCCCGCAGATTTCCACGGTCCATTTAAATACAATATCTTTTCCTCGATCAAGAAATTACGTGAATACGCAATCCGCTCTCCCGGCGGGTATCTATGTGCTGGCCGTGGCCGGATTAGAGGCGTTCGAATTAAAGCCGCCCTCGCAAGAAGAATCCCGCGATTCCCCACGGTTCATTCCGCTTTCCACTCGTCTCCGCTAATTAATTCTGTTTGCACATTAATCGCGCTCCGCCTCTTCCCCCGGTGCTCCACGACTCCATCCGTTTCGCCGCGAAACAGCTTTCGTTGGGTACTGTCAGTTTCGTTTCCCCGGCCGTGCATTTTTAACCGGAACAAACTGTCACGCGTGTCACCTCTCGGTGTGCCGCTGACAGCGAAGTAGAAGCGGAACGCAGAAGTCAGACGAGAAGACTTGAGAACTCCGATTGAAAATAAAATGAATAGAATAACACCGACGTCGGCGATCCGTCGAATAATTTCACGCTGAAACCACCGAGCGGGTTGATTAATTTCCATTTCTTTGAATCATCGAGACTTTGTTTTACTTAAACATTAATTCACGCGTTAGTTATTACCTCTTCAACAGTAACAATACAGGGAAATAAACGAGTCGTTTCGATCAGTTCATTAGTTCTAATAGCGTCACCTGCAACGAATAGAAATGATTCGTCATTGTCAGACATCCAATCGACGTCTCATCGCCAACTCGAATTCAATCTCGAATACACGAGCGAGGCTGCCGAATCACCCTGTCAAATCGCCGATGTGTTTCTCGTGTCTTTTTTCGAGTTTGATTCGGTAGTCTCGTCGGCGGCGGAGAAACGGCGCGGAAAGCCGCGGGAGGGAACCGATACCCGGGATCCCCCGTCTCCCCGCGTTGACCCCGAAAGGTAAACCGACAGGCTGCGCGCGGTTACGTACAGCACCGGCGAAAGATCCAGCCGGCAGGAAGCTTCTTCCCGTAGAGAGGTTCGCGTCGTTTTTCACTCTCGAGTCGGTAAGCGATAAGCGGAGAGCCGTGGAGGAACGGCGCGGAAGATAGAAACCGACCGGCGGATCCTTTGAAACAAATGCCCGGAACGTGTTACCCGTTCCCCCGGCACGTACCTACCTACGTACGTACGTACGTACCGTCCGTGGCCGTGCTGCTGTACGAATGGATTTTCGGGACGGACTGAAGCGATCTGCAAACACGTATCGCCGGACGGGATTACGTATAAGTAACGTGAACGGTACAAATAAGTGGGCAGGAACGGGAATCGGAACGAACCGGGCGGACGGGTTTTCTGTAAGGCGCGGCGCACGGTTGGCTCCTGGCTACCGTCGAACCAGAGTTTGCGCGCAAACACGTGCTCCAGGTCGCGCACGGAGGTTATCGAGCTGCCCGTCTGGAGGTCCGTTCAAACACGCTCGCGAGTTTGTTTTTCGACGGATCTGTGACGCTTCACGGCCGACTCGCGACCAATATCCGGACGGTTTGTCGCTCCCGACGCTTCTCCGCGTTGCGTTCCGAACATTATTGGTGGAACCATGGTGGCCCGCCCGGGGAAATTAATTAAAATCGTGGAGCGCGATTGTTGAATGCGTTCTTGAAGGTATTAATTATGAAATGTGCTCGGTGTAGTATTATGCATTTTAATAAGACATTATTGTTTTCCTTGATATTATTATTGTTATTATTAATATTCATTAACATCTTTACACCTGCGCGACGCGAAACGAATATAATTAAGTTCTGAAATTAAATTAATTAAATAGACTCTCGGGGGTAAATATTTGATATTGATTAGTACCCGGAGTGGTTCTAATGTGGACACGGTGCAGCCGCAGGTCAATTATATTTTCCAACCGCTGTTCCGCAACAAAGGAAATATTTCTTGGGATAATCCAGAAGCAGCGGAGCGTTATCGCCGGAAATGAAATCTGAGCACGATGTAATCGTCTGGTTCGCAACGCACGGTTGATATTACAAAAGATTGACACCGCGCGTTCGTCGTACACACCCTCGAACGGGGTGGACGGTGGGATGCGTCGGTGCGGAGGGGCAAGAGGGCGATCAGGTGAATTCCAGGGCCGCGGAGGATTTATGGGAAGCGAACACCCGGCTATAAAATAACACTTCCCATTCAGATCGGCAAATTAATGGTCGTTTTCATGGATTCTTTGTTTGCGCCGGCCGACAATGGCTCGGTGCCGGGTTATTATTCCGAAATAGTAGGAGCGCGAGTTCGAGCAGAATCCGGGGAACGCGCGTTGACCGGTCCGCAGATTTCGTCGAGGGCTTTTTTCCATGGACAATGTCCATGGAATTGCGAACAACTAATGCTATCGTGGACGTAGCTACTTTGTGCTCGATTGAAAATGAATGTAATACCTGTGTCTCGCTTATCGAACTTCGCCTCGTAAAAATCCGCATTTAAAACGGAAACACTCGAATATGTGTATTGACGCGCGGAATGAGAATCGCTGACACGTTGCTCCAGAAAATAAATTCAATCTAGTACGAACGTAATGTTATTCGATTCAATGGGAAACTTTTATTTCGTATTTGGTACGGTGCAAGTTTTCATTGTTGTATCTGGTACTAGTTTTTTTTTGCGCTATCACTCGGAGTCATAGGAGATGGATCTTCGGATTTACTTTTTGAAGCGACTACGTACTGCAGACGTGCAGAACTCGCACAGAAGCAGATCGCAATAACTTTCGTTTACTTCTCATCTACCGACTGCCGTGACATATTCATTCGACAGCTGTTCTCCGACACGTACGTAATTCCGAAAAGATCCTCCGGCTGTATCCTTTTTATATCGAAATTAATTCCTGTCGCCATCTCGACGCACGGAAGTGCAATGAGGTCTCCTTTGACAGCGGCGCAGTATCGATGAAAAGCTGTTGAAGAATTGGTATACATTTCTGTCGTTTGAAAGGGGCTCTGTGCCACCCATGGAGCACAAAAGCCAACGACGTTCGAAGGAAAACGAAAGAAAGGGGGGAAAAGAAGCACGGAAAGATGAACGAGTCACGAACAACTGCACGGCCGCGGAGCTAATGACATATTCTGTTGAATAATCAAACAGCTGGATCTAATTTGTTTCTGGTGCTCCGCAAATAAACCGCGGATTTTATGCATATGCGGCGACTTTGATCATCCGAGGTTCAATGTGGTATGACCATTGATAAAATTCAATGAGACTTTATCTTGTTCAGAGTGTGGCGAAATCTACGATACTCTAAAATATTTCCACAACTCCAGTTCCAATGAATTGGGACATAATAATCTGCGATGACGTAAACGTCCACAGTATCATTATAAATTCACTGCTTTAATCGCGTCTCGTGAACGTTAGTTCTCACTGCCATAAATGTCATTTAAGTTTTAAAAGTTTGAAAAACCCTCTTCAGCGGTTTATCGTCAGTCGTAAACACCGAACGGTTCGTTACGAAGCGGGAAAGTATATAAATTTTAAAGACTGTTTACACCGTACCGCCGGTACAAGATAATTGGATTTTTCTGTGTATGCAAAAAGAATTTCCTCAAAGATGGTCAAGTGGCTCGGGAAGCAGTGGTATTGCGCAGAATTCTTACGACGGGTAAGCACATGGAGCGAGTTTCGTTTGCCAGTTCGGGCGCTGCGCCCAACGAACTATCATGCAGCGAATTCTATGTGGAATTCCGTGCATGTTTCGACGAAATAAAGGTGGACACAGTTGCACGGTATAAAGAAATTCCTGGCCTCGAAAGGGCACACCGCAGTGACGTCCACCGAGTCACGAGGATTCTTCAGACTTTCATCATGAATCGGCAAATACACCACAGCTCGGTCCAAACAACGAATAAACCGGAGAAAAAACAGAAAATACCGTAGCAGATGTTTCCCGTGCTTATTGGAGTCCAAACAAGCGCGACCTGGCTCGCTAGATATTTAATTCTTTTTTTCATTGAACCAGAATAAATTTGTTCCGTCGAGTGCCGTTCCCTTTCTCCCTTTCCTTTTCCATTGCAGTACAGCAGTTTGACGCTGATCCACTGAATCTACTTTTTCAGTGATTACAGTCCTTGGAGCTACATGTGTTCGAACCGAAATTACGTTGATGAGAAGATTATCACGCCCGTGTTCCAATAACGGGGAGCCTGTGCGTGACTTATACTAATTCTCATTACATCGTAGATTCTGGGTACATCGTACTATCTACATTACGTTCGAATAAAATCATCAGCCAATATGTACTATCTTCAATCTAGTTCAACCAACAGTTTAAATGAAACTTCGATCTTAAGCTAAGCAAAAGATCAGTTTAGCGAGTGAATTAAAAGTAAATATCCATTATCAGTAATTCTATAAGCATCATAGCGGTTGCTCCTCAACAAGGCCACAAACTATTCAACCTACATTCCCAAGGACATATTAGCTCTAGCTTCAGAGCTAGAGGAGCTCCGGAGGTTTCCCAGGTAGACTCCCGCAGAACGTTCCCTACCTTGAACCGGTGCGTAGATGTTAAGATAGAGGCAGTCCTCGCTCTGGTTCCTCAGGTAGGGCAGCAGCCTCTTCAGATACTCGGCCCGTCCCTTCGGCATCTTGTCGGTGAGCTCGGGCAGCCTCTGCGGGCACACAGGGCTGAACTTGTCCGCGACTTTGACGCCGTGCCATAGCGCGCCGCTCACGGGCGGCATGAACCGCAGGGACCCGACCGGCGGCGACGCGTACGGAACACCGCGGAACACCTCGACGCCCTCGAGGTGCCGGTCGGGGGTCACGATAACGCCGGACAGTTCCCCGTACTTTGTCCTGATGATCCTCGAGGTGAGCTCGGCGCTGGCGGTCACCAGGACGAGGCCGAGCAGCGCCAGGATCGACGACGTCATCTTCGTTCGCGCCCTTCCAAACCCCGTCCCCACACACGCCTGGCGGTGCTCACTCGATCCTCCTCAAGCCGTCCATTACTCGGCCCTAGCCACCGCCGGACCCTCTAAACTGCGCGAGCCTGCTCACCCCGTAGCCACGAGGAGCATACGCGCGTCCAGGATGCATCAGCGCTCGCCCCGATTGATGTCAGCGCGATCCCCGACCGTGTCGCACCCGAACGTAACACTGTCCCATCGACGGACGCCGTCGCAGCCGCGTTCATGTCATCCTGCCGGGCCCTTTAAAACCCGATATCAAGCGCGCCGCCGTGCGACTCCGATTGATTCCCGGCGGGTCGCTGGCTCTTTAAATCGAGTCCTCTTGCCGCGCTGTTTGACTAGCCAGCCTCGTCCGAGAAACGTGCTGACGGTTCTCCGCTGCGCCGGGAAGTCAACACGCGGTCTCAGGCAGCCCCGACTCAGCGTTCTGAAAGGTAAATAGTCGAGCCGCTAGCGGCGGATCTCCGCTGGATCCTAGAGCTCCGTTTCCGCCGCAATTCTCTCCCGTATCCCGTGACCCTAGCGTTGCCGATCTCTCGGTCGCCGGGGCGACTGCTCCTGTCCCGGTGCTTTTAATTCCCGTCTCCTGACTCGGTCACGTCTCCGGATGCCTGTCCCGTGGTTTCGCAATCGCATCCAGCATTCCAACGCTGTCCTCGCTGCGCCGTGCTCCGCGCTCGATCTCGATCTCGTCCACCGGTGGAGGCTCGAGTTCCTTTTCCCTCGGAGCGAACGAGTTACAGGAAGCCGATCTCATTTCTAATGGCATGCTTGATGTGCCGGTACAAGTAAAACGCGCCGGCCCTAATGACGCTCAACAGAAATCCACCCCTAGGATGTTTAACGGTCCGCTTCATCCTTACGAGCTCGCTACCTCGTGGTTCCAAGGGTACGCCGGGTGTACCGTGGATACACTGTATCCGCTAGACTCGAGCTTCACTTTCCTTGGGAGATACTCTGGACGGACGAATGTTCTTCCGGATTCAGACCTGTCTAGACTCTTCTACTTGGAGCTACCTAAAGACTAAGATGATCATCAGCTCCGAAATTCGACGGAGACCTAGTACCTTCTACGACCTTCGAATGTTAGTCCAGTGATTCGGAGTGTGAGCTCCTGAAACCACGATCCAAACACCACTACAGCATCGCTGATAGACACCTAATCACTCTCGCACTGGGATCATCGTCCTACATCTGGCGGCTCACTTCAACCTAGATCCGCGACAGGTACACCCGGTGCACCTAGAAGAGCGAACGCTTGGATCCTGATTCGGATGGTCCGCTGGGAGGTTCAGTTTTCGGAGATCGATCGGAAATCGTGAAAGAGGACGCGTCCGTCGATTACACGGTTCTGCGACCAGGCGGACCCGGCCGCGAGGATGCAGCTGCCCGTTCGCCGGACTGGTTGGACACACGCGGTGACACTGGCTCCGACCGAACACTCGCTCACGCACTGCACACCCGATCCGTCCGGTGATCTCCGTCACGTGGAGCCGGCATTACGAGGATCCGATCCCCGACGATCGCCGCGTACCATCGGACCGGAACGGAGAGAGAAAAACGGCGGGGCAGAAAAGGGGGAGGCAAAAGAAAGATACAGAGAAAAGGTGGAAAGACGAGACGGGTCGAGACGAAAAAAGAGACGCGGCCGCGGAACACGCTGGACCAGAGGAACCGATGTTGCCGTCACTTCGACCTCGGACAGACTGGCGTCAAGCGACACCGAGCACACCGAGATGCGCATGCCCCGCGCAAACGCTGCCCACACCGCACGGGACATGGGCGTAAGTCCGTCCACGCGTCGATATTGCAGGGGGGATCGATCGCGGAGGGAAAACTGGTTCGTGTCTGAAACCGTGTTCCGCCCGCGGGCCTGTTTCCCTCTCGACCTACCGCCGCGTTTCCCCCTAACCCCTTCGACCGTCCGCCACAAAAAAATGCGATACAATTGAGACAATTAGCTTGACGCCTGCTGGAGTTATTTCGGAATAGTTGATGGCGGGGGTGGCTTCCGGGGGCGCGTTGATTGCGGCTCAATGATACAGGGGCTGTGGAACACAGAAACGTTATAACGATGTTATGCTAGACGGTAGCAGAGTCTCACTTGGTCCTTTGTATTTCTGTTTGGGTGCTTGTAGTGGTTTAGTTCACGTGATTAATGTTTAATCAGGTAAGATGTTGTTTAATGTATTGTGTGCATTTTTATTATATTTTATGTTTCTTAGGTATGGAATCGTTAGTCGATCATTATGCAATGGTGCGGATGCCTTCGTTTCGAGGAGGATTTCAAGGGTTGTGTTAGGAATGTTTCTTCCTTGCGTAACGTTATGTGAAAATGATTATTCTACAATAGGCTTTGAGAAACGGCGAGGAGAAATGTGCTCTTAACGATAAGAGAATTAATTAGTTGATAAGCTATGGGTTAAGCATACGATGTATCTATAATTTCAGAGTCAGATGCTGGAATAGCTTCGAATCAAGAAAAATATACGGAGATGGTACAAATACGAGCCCGATGTCGTCTTTTTCCGAAGTTATAACAATGTTTGTACCACGCCGATCCTTCTGACAAACTAGACCAGTATAAATAGATCTATTTAACTGTTTGCAAACAAAGTCTGGTATTGCTTGTATGCTTTCGCTGATTATTTTGTAAATGATATCGTATGAGCGGCGTTGCTATTGCTGGATGTTATCATTTCTAAATCGTATACTTTACAAGCGAATCAGCCTTCAAGGCTACTGTAAGCTGGCTGCTTCAATAACAAGGAATGTTCTTGGAAGAAACAACTTTTACATGCACAACTCACGAATAGAATGTATAAATACCTATAAATATGGAATTCTCACTAAAATTACTAATCAAATGTAATCAAACCAGTGAACAACAAGTCGTACACTGGTTCATTTACCGAGCTTCAACAATTTTTCGATTTATAGAAGCTCCGTTTGCCTAGGACACCTGATTCTTCTATCCCCGAAGAGTCGATTTCGTGAGATTACCCTTGAATCCTTAACACTAGAACTACGTAACAGTCGAAATGACTGGTTCCGGTTTTCTTGTTTCGCTTTATTGCTATCTTCAAAGCATTGAATATTCGAAATGATTTTGAAAATAAATAGTTTCACTTGAGTACTATAACGAATGTCTGAAGAAACCGAAAATAATCTATTGTCACAATTTTTACAGGGATTGCATACCAATCGTATTAAACGCTTGGTAGTTCTAGTGTTAACGCAGTCGGTATTATTAGATAAATTCGCTGCTCATCGTCCCAAATCGCGCAATTACGCGGCCGATCGTAGGGAAAGAAGAAAAGTGACGCGGAGTAGGAACATTGTAATATCCTCCGAAACCGGGTAAACTTTATAACGAGAATTTCAGGGAAGAATGACTACAACCGTGGTCGGTTTCTTCGGAAAGTTCCGCGATATACTCGGTTGCGTCCCCTCAGTTTACCGCGTAGTTATCCTCGTTAACAAACTTCGATGTCCGCTACGCTTACGCTTACAAACAGAAGGTTTCCGTCCTCCACCCTCTCCGATCGAGCCCCGCCGACAATAAAACCGCATCGATAAAAACCGTTATAAACATCGGGCGATGTTACTCGATATCGTTGCCGGTCGTTCCGAACTCGTAATTGCAATGATAAAATTCATAAAACCTCCCCCGCGAATCCATCGAAGACGTACAATAAACGCGAGAGAACGGGGACAACGATTGTCAGGTGCAGTCGCAACAGGGAAATAAGATTCGTCTTAATCGTCGCCTGGACCTATGGAGGAGGCGATCTCCAGGCAGCGGATCGCGAGAATTCAAATATTCTATTGTCTCGTTGCTCATGGGTGTTATCGCGAAAGCTGTCGCGCGAAGCCGACCCCGTACGATGAAGTTTACTCAACGTCGGGATAACGAGGCCGAGAGTGCCTGTTGGACGACCCTTCATGAATTACTGACTTAATTCTTCCGGGCACGAAGGTGTAACGCATTTAACATCGTCCCGGAGCGAACGAGCGTCCCACGTTTCTGGTGCGTCAACTTTCTCAATGCTATTAGCCCTGTATCCTAAGGCAAACGTCAGCCACTTCTTGCTCTCCCTAATCAGCCGGCAGTGGGAAGTCTACGTGTTGTTCCTCGTCGAAAGCAGTGCGTAATTCAATCAAGCCCTCCGCCCTGGCGAGACTACGCCCTGGGCTATCGAGCTACCGCGATAATTGATCGAGCGAAATACGATAGCGTTCCATGGGTTTGCATGGGAGTCGCGTCCTTCGAAGGGTTTCTATAGCCTTCTCGAAGATTTCGTGATACCTCGAATGCCGAACTGACATTCTACTGTGATCAACTAATATCGACAATCGAATGCGATAAGGTTCAAAGGACACCAAGCAGAGAGCTACTAGCTTTTCCCTCTACTTTTTGCTATTGCATTCTCTGTTACTACCAGCGCTGCGTAGGATTAAATTACCACTGTGTCTGGCGTCAGGAAAGAGCTACACTGTGGCTCAGAACGATTGCTATTTCGCGGAGATGACCGTGCTCGGTGTAAACGCGTGCCGCAAATATTCGTGCATTCGCGCAAAGGGAAACGCCACTGGGAAATACTTTATCCGTTCAGCCCACACACGTGTAATAAATTTTACGTCGCGCATTCGAGCCTGTATGAACGGCGCGTACTGTTTTCGCGCCACTAAAAATCATGGTCCCTATAAAACCGAGCCCTGGCAGCAGTTCCCGGCCAGTTATAGGCCACTAGGAAGCCGGCCGGGGACCCGCGGAGCGTTTCCTGCGACACGTACAGACCCCTTAGACCGGACTTCGATTTATAACGACGCACGACCCGGCATCCGCAAGCTCGCCGGTCGCGTCGAACCGCTCGCTCTCGGCGATGATAAATCTGGCTGCTCTTCTGCGCCGCTGAATCCCCGCGCATCGTATGACGCGCTAATAAATCCAGGAGCCAGTGTCTACGCCGGGGCCCTTTCACGTCGATTAGCGAGCAACGCCGTCATCGAGACTCCTCAAAGCCCGGAGCGTGGTTTTTATGGACGTGGCGCGAATGAATGTCGCATAAAGGGCTCGGGGCTCGCGGTGGACGCCCGCCATTTCCGAGATTGCTTCGACCTCCTGGCTACGAAAATTCTACCCGGTGATCCTGCGTTCACGATCCTCTGTCGGATTTATTAGCTAATTATAAAAAGGGACGGACATGGTTTCTGATCATTTCGACGTATTACCTACGAATTACTTAGCGATTAACGATTGATGATACTTGAGGATTTCTTAATAAATTCAATTATAGTTACTATCATTGCGTAATAATGGCAATAGCAATAGCAATCACTTCGAGACTATCGTTCAAATAAGCATTGCTCATCTTTTCCAAGTTTCAAATTCAGAGGTTCTTCCATCGATTAAATATGTGCCTAATTTTCCTCTATACCCGTCGAATCGAAAGAGAATTGCTTTCAGTTATCGATCAACGACTCTTGATATCAGAGAGTAGTCACTGCAGGTCCCTGGCCAAGTGGCCAGATCAAAAATACGTTGGTTGTCGGCTGGCCAGGTGAGGTGAAAGGTGCTGGTCTCCGGAGAAATTAAAAGCACCGCTTTACATGACAAAGGGCGCCGGGTCGATGGACGAAAAGCGACAAAACGAACAGACCTCCGGTATCCGGTCGGAGGTGGACGTGATTACGATTCACGGCGCACGCGTTGCGACGACGCGACGCGACGCGACGCGACGATGGGAATTCCGGCCGGTGTGGCTTCAAATCGTTATGACTTATTCATTCTCGTTAAAGTACCCTGTCCGGCGGGTGTCGCGGCCGAAAAGAAGGAAGAGAGTGGGAACGGAGGAATTTATCTGAACGAGGTTCATTCCAGGCCACCGCGACCCTTCCACGAGGATAAAGGACCTGTCGCAGAAACGGACGGTTCCACACGAGACATTCTTCGTCCCGACGTTTCGCATCTCGCGGACCGCAGTTTCGATCGATGCCAGTTTCTGGTCGTGCTACATGTGGCTGGATAGTCCGCCCGATTGAACAGCCCCGTGTACTGGACTATGGAACATTGTAGCTGTTGATACAACTGTGAATACGGCATTGCTGGTTGTTGTTCAACGGAAATGTTCGACATTAACCCTGAAAGTTATACTGTTATCTGCATTACGTCCTTGATGACGCTTACTGTTTGTTTCTACGTTTATAAACTTGATTAATAACATAACACACGATATTTATAATGCATTAGGTTCATGCATATGAAACGTCGGTTTAACTGCACGTGTGAACGTTTGTCTCCTTGTTTTGGCATAACCTCGTTTATAGTCGTACTGTCCATTGCCAGAGTCACATTTCAACAAAGAAAATTTTCTCAAAACTGTTCCCTTTTGTTATTTGTTTTGAATTTTATACCGATAGGAATTCAACTGATATTCGTGTAATTTTTTTATGACTATATACGAGGTTATGCCAAAAACAAAAGCATAATGAAAACAGGGAGACAAACGTTCACATGTAAAAAAACCGACACCAACCTAATAGTATTGTAGTTTTAAGGCAGTGGGACAGCGAGTATTCTGAAAGACAGGAAGAGGGACATAAGAGAGAAAGGGACTGATGGAGATCAGGCCCAAGGGTTGGCGAGTTTTTCCGAGGGATGCGTAAGCGAGGGTGATGAGTGCGTGAT